GGTGCGTTTCTATCAGTCTTCCTACCATTATGACCAAGTTGCGAAAACAAGGTCAAACAACTTCTATAACATACGAAAGCTCAGCAAGGAACATCAGGGTTGCAGGGCGGTGCGCCGAGGACCTATTCGCACAAATCTACAATCACAGCTCCATGGCAGCCCCTCTGCAACTTTCGGTGAGGCCAACTTACGAATCGCTTACATTCACCTATTCCAACAAAATGGAAGGTTTCCCCTCAAAAATTTGTCATGCCAGAAAAAAATAATGCCCTATAAACCCAATGATCTTATCGTAATGCATCAAATGGAAGATTTATCAAATTAGCTCAAATTATCAGAGATTTAAATAAATGGCAAGTAAAATAGTGAAGATAAGCGGCTGAATAAGTTACGTAAAAATAATAAGAAAAAACACTATATGAATGCAAAGAATTTAAGTTAACAGTAAAATTGAAGCCGCATTATATGCAGAATTCAAGCATGAATGAATGAACTCTAACTAAAGACTAAATGGAATATAAAAGATTTAAAAATTGAGAAGAGAACCACTCCAGGTAAATTAATAAAGAAATAAACTGCAGAAGCATATAAAAGTCATATGTCCGGGTTTACACGGGGCAGTAATAAGCTTAATCTAATGAATGAAACAGTACTAAAATAGATGCAATATAATGATATAAACCCTGAAGCTATTCCTATAGCATTAAAGCCCACCGAGCGAACATAAACTTGGAGTACTAAGAGATGTAAGCTTTCTATCGTGACAACAGTGCTACTATTAATAGCTAAAAAATGTAATATACCGATGAGTAATAAGCAAAATACATCCATGATGAATAGTGATTCATTAATTTTTCTTATATTAGTTAAAAACTATGAAAATCATGCACTAATTATTTAATTATGTCTGCCATTAATAGATTCGTACGATTTTACTCGATAAAGAGCCACACACGGCAGACAGACTTAAACAGTCATATCTGCACGATGCATGTTGAAAAGAGCGGTCATGGCTCAAGTTAGCATTCCATAATGGTTTATAACTATCCAAGAATAAGCCGAAGTCGAGGTATTTTGGTTTCCTTAACAAAGCAAATCTTAATAATGACAATAAAAAAGTTCCTATAAGAGCCTCATCAGAAAAGGTTGCGAAAGAGCTCGTAACGATTTAAAAGTTACACCTAAATTAATTGTTCAGCTAACCCATCATAAGGCAAGCTTGTGAGTGAAAGGCTGAAAAATCAAGCTTTAGTGAGATTCCTTATAAAATAATTAATTCCACGCATGAGAAATATTAAGATTGTTGTCGTTAAGATAAAACAATAGCAATATAATATTTAAATAGCGTCGTCATTATAATACAAAAGAAGATAATAGCGTAGATATGTATAGAATTAATGCAAACACTATTAATTTAGCCACCCGATCCGAATTTTTTTTACCATAATGACAAGGAAACTGATATGAGTTATTAGTCTCCAGTAGACGGATTAGAGAAGGGTTTATTTGTAATTTCTTCAACAGTGAAACGATTTAAACAAGGTAAATGCTCAGAAGGTATCCTGAATGGGCCTTAACGATCGACATTTTATAGGCATAATAAATACAATGAACAGAAATGAATTCTTACCAGTGAAAAGCGAGTAGATATTAGGGTGACAATCAGATGGAAAAACGGGTTGAACACGGTCTATTGATGAGCCAAGGCGTAAGAGACGCTGGAAGTTAGGTAACTGTACTCGACCAGGCCCATCTGGCTGTAGTGGGTTAACATAGTCCCAACGGAAGCCGTCAAGTAGAAGGACGAGCAAAGGCTGTGAATGAGTTGATACCGAAGAAACGACTTTTTGAGACTGAATAATAGGATTTACTAAACTTGAATGGTCAGCTGTGATTGTCGATGAATTGCCAAGTAAGATAGGTAAGGCCAATTTTGTATTGTTAAAGGCTGACTCTGAGCTTATCGGAAGTGTGATGCTAAAAATTGTGAAAAAAACATAAAGGGCTTGGATAATAGAGTTTGAGAGAAGACAGCGGCCGCCCCAGACACCAAGATATGGCATGCGAGACCATATGCGGGTTGTTGGAGACGAAGACGAAGAATTGAGGGAAAATGGTGCCGCCAGGTTTATGATTAGAGGCTAGGTTAAAATAGAGAAGCAGAATGAACATGGATGAAAAAACTGGTGGATCAAGAACAGATAATGGGAGCTTCGGGCTTCAAGCCAGAAGCGAAGTACATCAAATTTAGCAAAACTTTCAATTTAAATGGCAAGATTGAATTATATTGGGCATAATCAAGTCGAAATGTGAATGTAAAGTAATATTTTTTTAATGATGATAAAACAGGATATTTCCAATCAAGCATAGATTGTGAAGCAAGCCAGTTAGGTTATTTTCACTAGGACGACTTATGATGAGACTAGATGCACGCTGATTTTAGGTACAAATATGAATATGAAAAATATCGTCCATTCGATAGAAAAATCCCGCAATACTTTAGATTTATGCACGAAAGCCATTTCTAAAATAAAGGCTCCGTATAAGAATCCATTGGAATATTTAAAGTAAAAAAAATGAAAAAAATCATTCATGTTTTTGAACTTCGTATGAGTTAGATAAGTACCAATTATTTAATTGGAGAAAGCACTTAACTACAACAGGAATTTCCAGATGGAAATAGTTTTCATTACTTCAACAACCAGGAAATTTGCCTATAAATGCCTTAACCATGGTTTCCCAACAAAGTTAAGTGTATGCGCTCGGGCATAGTGCAGCACCAAACATTAAACAATGAGGTGCGGGAATACATTGAATAATTAAGTGATTATGGCTTATAAAATTATTTCGTATAATCTAAAATAGTAAATAAATCAGACAAAAGCTTTGTGCCTCAAGTTGGCCACACACAGAAATAAAGTTAATTATGGTGAAACAGCAGGAAAAAAAGCAAGTGGTAATTAATTATTTACTGGATCTTTGTACATTAAAGGTATAACTTAATAAGCTCGTCACTGACAGCTGATGGCGTGAGTACGCCCAAATCGGTGACAAGAAAGGTGACAAATTGAGGGCTAGTATAGTCAACAACGGGAAGAAGCAGCTTATGCTCGACTGCTTCGAGACCGCGTAACTTTATCACTCGCTCCCAGGCATCGGATGCTTCCTTAAAATTAACTTCAGACTTAGTTGTAAAGTGCTGAGATTCAGAGTCAGCAGAGATTCCAAGATCTCCAGAGCTGGGCGTTAAGGCCGATAGCTGAGAATCCTGTTTCGCAGAGCTTCTCTTCGCTGAATGTGGCCATTTAAAATGATCAGGAATATGTAACTGATCGAGTGGGAAGCAACGCAGGAATTTGAAGGATTCTGCCATTACGTAAAGCGGCTTTCCGCACTCAGCCGCCACTATTGCTACAGTAGCAGATCCAAGGCGATTAAGCACGCCTCCACTCTCAACCACAGCCTCAGCTCCAAGAAGCACAGCGTCCACTTGAGGCATAAAGTAGGCAACAGCTGCATCTGGGATCAATTGGCATGAAGGGGCAGGCAAGCTGGCAGTCAGCTCACGAAACATTTGTAATCCAGAATTCTCTGGTCGAGATTCGGTAATGAGACAAGTAAGGCCTGGCATACGGGCAGCCGCCGCACGGAGCACGGTCAGAACGCAGCGTGACCTCGAGTGCACTAGTAATCGTGAGCCAGCAGGAATGAGGGGTAGGGCATTCTCGGCAATCTGTTCACGGCAAGCTGCAACCTAACGGTTGTAAAAAAATGTAATTGTATAAATCAGTCTGAAAGACGCCCGCATAGCTGCAATAGTGCGAAGAATAACTTTAAATCACAGAATGGCAGAATATAGCGTTTCATGGTAAAATGTGCTCTTTCACAAATAGATGCAACAATAGAAAAGTCTATGAAAGATATGGATGTCAGATGTAAATATTTAGAGTAAAATTTTTATATTGATTTTCCATTTATAGAGTGCAAGATTAATGAACTCTTATTTATTCAACTATGGCCGATTTTGCTTGGACCGTTGTAATTGATATGTTTAGAATATGTAATTGAAGCCTAGGAAGCACCCAACTCAGTGGTGTCAGATTGGTTGCTAAGAAAATACAAGATAATGCGTCTTTAATTAAAGGAAAGACAAGGTTAGTCACTTTCTCTAAGATAATCAAGTATCGCGTCATTAACCTACCGATGATTGTAAGTAGGAATGAGTCATTAGGTTATCGTAGAAAAGTGAAAATAAGCGACTGCAACGTGATCAAAAATAAGAATACCCAAAAGTGTAATTATTAAAAATTAAAAGCTAGACTATTTAAAGGGCGATTACTTCATTAAAAAAGGAGCGAACATTGTCAATATGACGTTATACTCTATTCATTAGAATTAGAAACGAGGATTTCGTGAACTCAAACAAAATTCACGAATAGCTGCCACCCACTAACAAACTCAATAATATAAATACATGCAAAATATTAAAATAAGAAATGCATATGTTAATCTTTAATATAAATGAAAGGACAGCATTCGTGATATCTTTTTTGTTGAAATGTGAAGCAAGGCAAAAATTAGACTAGTTATAGCAAATTTAAATCGCCAAAAAGCATGCCCCGGGTAATTTCCATGGCCATACAAATAATATCAAGTATATATAATTAAAAAGCGGATTAAAGGTACCTAGACAAACAATCTTAAATCAATAGAACCCGAAACCGTCAAGGCAA